TCCTTAATGGCTGAGCGAACAACCAATGCCAGAACCTGAGACAGCCGCATTGATTGCTTCTGTAATGCAAGGATAACTTCATGGCTGAGTGAATAACCAATGCCAGAACCTGAGACAGCCGCATTGATTGCTTCTGAAATGCAAGGATATACCTCCTCCCTGCCCCTGTGTGTTGTACTTTCTGGTATCTACATTACTGCCGCTCAATCGTAGGGGAAGAGTTGCTCTCAAACCCCAATGTGGTTGTCTGATGTAAATCGTAAAACTAGAACGCTTCCCCCGGGTCATCTCTGTCAATGGATGGTCTGTTGAGTCCTATTGGCTGGACTGGCCTGCTCCAGTTCATACTAGCACTCTGTTTCAGGCGCTATCAATGCTTCTCTCTGCCCCTTCGTTAATGTTGTGCGCTGAGAAGCTGGCGGTTCCTGCGGCTGGTTGGACGGGGCCCCGTGCTGTCTTTTGGCATTGCTACTTTTTCTTCTGCAAGGTAGTTCTTGAGGAGATTCTGCTTAATTGCCCAGGCCTTTGCTGCATTTCATTCAGTTCTTTTGTTTGGTCCTTTTCCATTCCATTCTGAGTTCTGTTTCGACTTGTTGTTGAATTGGAATACACACTTGCTGACAAGACATCTGTCTTCAAACCACCAGTACACCCGCACCTAAAATCCTGAAGCTACCTGCCCACTGCGCGCCGCTATTTTCCGAGCCTTCGGCGCGAGGGTACCTGCAGTGGGAATTTCGGAAGTGGCACCGGTGCCGGTGGTCTAAAAAAAAAAAAAAAAAAGAAAGGAAAAACATGCCAGAGATCAAACATGTCGTAGAAGGACATCACCGAGGCCATACTCAAACGATCACTTTCCAGAATGCATCTGACCACTATTACGGGGAGAGGAAAACATCGCTGTTTTTTCCTTCTGCGAGGCACAGGGCCTCGATATGCCCTACAGGGCCTATTTTTCACACGGTCGGCTGCCCTAAGTGAAGGCAGGCAGGCACGACCGAGGCCTACAGGCCATTTTGGGGTCACCACGCAACTGGGGAAATTCAGGCAGTTGGTCAGCGCCAGTTGGTTGGAATCACCCAGACCCGGGCTGCCTTTCATTGCATGTAACTAAGGCAGGCCCTGGGCCGGATACACGAAGTGGACCGAACAAAGGCTGAGGGCAGTTGGGGGCTGGTAACCACCACAGGCCCTGGGCCTGATTACTTCGGACTGAGGCTCAGCCTCGTGGGGCCTACCGGAAGCTTCTGGGCCAGGGCCCAGTACCGCATTACTGCACGCAGCAGCAGGCCACTTCGATATAGAGAAGGGCCTGCCTACGCATTGGACATTCGGGCACTGGCTGCTCTGTGCGCAAGCTCTGCTGCGCTATCACTGGCCAGGCTCACGCGCTCACGGGCGAGCTGGAAGGAGCAGGCAGCCATAGCTGAGCTGTGCTGCTGTATGCGGGATGGGCCGCATGGTGGTCCTTGGGTGTAAGTGGCATCTGTGAGTTGGGGAACGAGGTTGTGAGTGATACGAGAGACATATGTGGCATACTGTGCAGCCACACGGGCCCTGCAGGGCCCGTCCCGGACCTCCAGCCTGTTTCCCTACAGGGAAACTTCCAGGCTCTTGCCTGGAAGCTTCCTTCTGACAGGGCCTACAGGCCCCAGCCTGTTTCCCTACAGGGAAACTTC